AAAGCTTAATCTTCCTCCTATTAAGATACTAGGGAGTGTTAGTGTCTAAATTAGATAAAAAAGCAACACATAAAGAATAGGGATAGGTACAGAGAGGAGAAGGAGAGAGAGAGAGAGAGAGGAAGGAGGGGGGTGTTTTAGGTTAAGTACACTAGTACCTAATCTAAAATCCCTTCCTCCCTTTTTTTTTTTTTTTTCTCTTCCCTCTGTCCCTCTTTTTAGGTCTTTAGCACCCTATAGTAATCTTTTAAATAAATAAGGTTAGTAAAACTTATAATGTTCTAGGAAAGAAGAATAGTGTTAGTTTTACTAATGCTAACCTAGTTAACTAAGCATACACTATGTAGTGCAGTGTTGTTTTTTATAAATGTGTTATATTTGTCTGCAATTGCAGCAGCCCCTGTGATCTGCTACTACGCAGGCGTCTGTGCGGATGTTATTTCTGGCGGTTAAGGATAGCTTTTATAGCAGATAAAATTAGTAGTTAGAGCTGCTTAATAGTCCTAAGGCTAGTAGACTAGATTTAACATAAGCTTTAATGCTTTACACTTACATTTACAAAACGCTGTATTAGTCTTTAGTAAGCCTATAACACTTTTGTTTAGTAGATTCTTTTTATCCTTACTATGCATCTATGTCTAGGGTGCGTTTGCTAGTTTAGCACTGTCTTAGAGTATAGTGCAAGTAGCCTTATATTTTTAATCTGCTAGCAGCTAAGCAGTGAATGCTAACGCGCCTTTAAGATATTTATCTTTAAAATGTTAGCTAATCTTCTTATTGCTAAATTAGGCTAAAAGGTACAAAGTTTGCATACATAAGATGTAAATAAGTTAATTTTAATGTGTAATATTAAGCATAGCTTTTTTATTCTTGTTATAAGCATTAAGTCTTAATAGGGCTTCTAGTGCAGAGGCAACAGGGCCTTGCGTAGGAGTAGACGCCTAAACCTTGTTGTGCCCTAAAGGAGGAACAGGAACCTAGGTCTAGGTCTAGGTCTAGGTCTAGGTCTGCGGCAGATTAACAAGTGTTAGGGGGGTTTTTAGGTTAGGTACTAGTACGTATAGCAAAACCTCTTTTTAAGCGTAATCTAATATAAGCAGCTTATTTATTAATTAGCTAGGCTTCTCTGTCTCTCCTTTAACATTACTGCTAGTGTGCAGGGTAAGCTTGTGTTCTAGGGTCTTATTTTTTGTTATGTTGCTAGGATTAAACCTTAGGTTAGGGCGGTAGTTATTTATCTAGTCTACTTCTTTGTAGTTAAGTAGGTCCTAGATGTAAACTCTTTTATACACTTTATTATCTTTAAACTATGTCTGCCTTAGGTTTTTCTTGTCCCTATTTGCATCTAGGTGGCAGAAAGATAATAGCATTACTAAAGCAGCCTTCTTTTTCTTCCTTGTGTAGTCTTTACCCTAACTATGGTTATGTCCTTTCTAGAAAGTTAGACGCGCCACCCTGCTACTGCTGTCTCTGCCGCCTGGGATATCGCGCGCGGGTGCCTCCTCTTTGTCCTCCCTTGATCTATCTGATGCAGTGCTGGAATTAGAATTTGAATTTAAATTTAAATCTGAATCTAAATCTAAATCTAAATCTAAATCTAATTTTAAATCTAAATCTAAATGTAAATGTGAATTAGAATTAGAACCTAGACTAGGCTTAAATACATTAAGTGCTTCTTTTAGCTTAGTAGGGTGGATAGTGTATTCCTTAGGGACCTGTTTACTGCTAAGCGCCTTAATTTGTTTTGTAGCCTTAGCGCGGCTACTCTTTCTTAATTAGGTTAGTCTAGCGTGAGCTTTTAGAGTTCCTATATGTAAGATCTTAGAATTTAAGGCATTAGCTATAATAGTATCTATAGTAATATAATTACTACTATAAGGCTTAAAGTTAGCTGCTTGTTTCTTAGCCTAGCTACTAAGCTGCTTAAAACACTTAATAAGATTTTATGCCTATTTAGAGACAAGGGTTTTAAGAATACTGTAACTGTAGAAGGGCTTATTAGCTTGTTTAAAAAAGTTAAACATAACTACTTTTAGTATAGAAGCATATATCTTAACTTTTAACAGCATTTTAAAATTATAGAACTTTATTAGCGTGCCTTTAAAATAATAAGTCCTCTAGTGTTAGTTATCTATAATAGTGTTAAGAACTGTTTATAGGTTAGGTCCTTTAGTGTTACTAAAGTAGAAAAAATAGGCGCGCTAGAGTTAACTAGTTACTTTATAGAATTTATAATTGCTCTTAATTATGTCTAGAAGCTTGCTGTAGGTTGCATTAAAATATAGAGCTAACTATATAATACTCTGTGTAGCTGCATACAGAATAATTTTGCTAGTCTTAGTGTCTTACTTAACTACTTTAATGTCCTTTAAGTTTTAGTCTAATTTAGCAAGCTTATTAGTAATAGACTTTTTAATAGCTTTAGCCTAGGCTTACTTCTCTAGCTGTTTGTTCTTAAAGAATGTGTTTATAGCAGAATCTAGTTTAACCTTATAGTAATCTTAAAACTTAGAGGAATAGCAAATTAGGGAAGCTAACTAGGATATAGAATTAGTGTCTAGATATAGTAAAAGGCTGCAGGTTTAGACCTAACCACGCTACTCTCTAGGCTCTGCCTAACTATAGCTAGAAGATGCACCTAGATCTATAACTTTGTTATAATGTTAGCTAAGCCTAAACCTAAATAGGTATAAGTTTACTAGAAAACTTAATAATGTTATAAAATATGCAAGATATGTACTAGAGTAAATAGTTAAGCATAAGCACTAATTAGAGGGGGGGAGAGGGATAAGTACTAAAGGGGAAGAGAGTTTAGCCTTAGGTACTAGTATATAAAGCTAAACTTCCCCTTTCCCCTCTATTAGCTCTAGCCTAGGCATACTATAATAAAAAGTCTAGTAAATATAGAAAACACTTACTAAATCTTAGGGGCCTAGCCCTAATATTAGACTTAGCTGTTTCTAGCTGGTTCCTAGGCAGGTTTGTTAGAGTGCAATGGGTTGTTTCCACCGCAGTAGGTGGCAAATAGGGGTGAAGGATATAGAGACAAGGGGAGGGAGGGGGGGGCTTTTAGGATAGGTACTGCCTTAAAGAGACTTAGGGAAAACGCTACACTTGCTAGAATTAGCTAATTAGAACTTTAGTAAGCTGCGCTAGTTAGCGCTAGCCTGTAAATAACTTATAATTGCTTTTTTAGTTAAAATTATTTAAATTTGCTAAAATTGCTCCTGTCCTTGTTGTTGTTGTTGTTATTGTTGCTGTTGTTGCTGCTGCTGCTTCTGCTGCTGGAGCGGAGAGTAGTGGATTGTAGAGGTGAAAAGAGCTTATAAGGTTGCAAATAGTTGTTTATAGCTAGCGCGCGTGCTAAGCCTATATGTGGTCAGTGCATTAGCGGTGGCAAGTAGGTACCTATACTGAAACCCCCTCTCTACCCCCTAGCTATCTCCTTATCCTACACGTTAGCTAGACCCACGCTAAGCTGTTTAGCTACACGTTAGGATAATAAATAAAACCCTTAGCTAAAAATGTAATAATTGTTTTGCATTAATTTTAAAAGAGTATTCTGTATAGAGTTTAGCGCATTTTACATTATAACGCATGCTCTATTATAGTGAATTTACCTGTTATGTGTGCTACTACGTGTACACATGTTAAGGAGTGGACAAAGAGAGGGGGTTTAGCAATACATACTAGTACTTATACTAAAACCCCCCCCTTCTCTTCCTTTTACCCCCTCTCCCTCCCCCTCCTTCTTCTCTTCCCTTTAGCTATCTCCCGCCTATAGGTTTACACTGTGGCTATGCTAATTATTTTATAGATCTTACTATTATCTCTTTTTAATAATACCTAAGCAACGCTTAACTTATATGCTATTGTAACTGTGGAATATTATCTTAATTAACCCTACTAGAGTTTTCTAAAGAAATATTAACTTATTGCGCATCTACAGTAAGTCTTTTACACTGTAGAGGGATAATTTACTATTTTGTGGACTATCTTGGTTTCCACGCACTACTACCACCCACCCTAGCTCTCGCAGCATGCGGTTGCTTACCCCTTTGTGCTCTATATCCTGTAGTTAGTGTCGCACGTGTCTTACGCGATATCATACCCATGTACTGCACTATTCACTTATTAGGCATAGCTCCTATCTTGTACAGTATATAGTCAGCTTAGAGCTCTATTAAGCTTCTTAGACTTTACAATACACTTGTTTAATCTACCTTGTTTAGATCTTACTACCTTGTTAACTTGCCTCCTATATGACCCTTCCTTAGCTTATGCAAGAAAAAGCCTTAATGCGGCTAGCACGCCTTACTAAGTGCGCAATGCTATTTCTGACTACCTACTATACGTATGCATACTATATTACAGAATCTAGCTTGTAGGGCCTTTGTAAAACGTTTCTGTCTATTATCTATGTACTACTAACTGCTAGAGGTGGGTGCTGTTTAATTCCACTAAAAACCTAAATGCGGCAAGCGCTTAATGCCAGCTAAGTACTATAATGCTATTCCTGACTACCCACAAACTATACGTATGCATACTATATTACAGAATCTGGCTTGCAGAGCCTTTGCAAAACAGTTCTGTCTATTATCTACGTACTACTAACTGCTAGAGGTGGATGGTGTTTGATTCCACTAAAAACCTGAATGCGGCTAGCGCCTAATACTAGCCAAGTACCACAATGCTATTCCCGACTACCTACAAACTATACGTATGCATACTATATTACAGAATCTGGCTTGCAGAGCCTTTGTGAAATGTTTCTGTCTATTATCTATGTACTACTAACAGCTGGAGGTGGATGGTGTTTGATTCTACCAAAAACCCAAATGCAGCTAGCGCCTAATGCCAGCCAAGTACCACAATGCTATTCCCGACTACCTACAAACCATACAGATGCATACAATATTACAGAATCTGGCTTGTAGAGCCTTTGCAAAACGTTTCTGTCTATTATCTACCTACTACTAACTGCTGGAGGTGGATGGTGTTTAATTCCACCAAAAACCTGAATGCAGCTAGCGCCTAATGCCAGCTAAGTACTATAATGCTATTCCTGACTACCTACAAACCATATAGATGCATACAATATTACAGAATCTGGCTTGTAGAGCCTTTGCGAAACGTCTCTGCCTATTTTCTACTTACCACTAACTGCTGGAGGTGGATGGTGTTTGATTCCACCAAAAACCCAAATGCAGCTAGCGCCTAATGCCAGCCAAGTACCACAATGCTATTCTTAACTACCTACAAACTATATAGATGTATACAATATTACAGAATCTGGCTTGTAGAGCCTTTGCGAAACGTTTCTGTTAATTATTTATGTACTACTGACTGCTGGAGGTGGGTGATGTTCGATTCCACCAAAAACCTGAATGCGGCTAGCACCCAATGCCAGCCAAGTACCATCCATAATGCTATTCCCGACTACCCACAAACTATATGGATGTATACAAAATTACAGAATCTGGCTTGCAGAGCCTTTGTAAAACGTTTCTGTCTATTATCTACGTACTACTGACAGCTAGAGGTGGATGGCGTTTGATTCCACCAAAAACCCAAATGCGGCTAGCGCTTAATGCCAGCCAAGTACCACAATGCTATTCCTGACTACCTACAAACTGTATGGATGCATACAAAATTGCAGAATCTGGCTTGCAGAGCCTTTGTGAAACGTTTCTGTCTATTATCTATGTACTACTAACAGCTGGAGGTAGATAGTGTTTGATTCCACTAAAACCCTAAATGCAGCTAGCGCCCCTTGCTGCCTTGCTAAACAATCCTCTTACTAAAAACGGTTAAGACCTCTCTGATGCCTACCTTTCAACCACTCTCTCTTCTGCCACAACGCCTATATAGCTTAACTGCTGCCTGCCTGTAGCTTTTAAACCTGTTTTCGTCCCTTTGCGCGAAAAAAACCCTACTGTCCTAGGTCTAACCTTATGCCTGTTTCTGCGGTTCATAAGCTTAACATAAACTCTAAGTTTTAGCAAGCACCTTATTCTAAGAGGGTTATCTGCCCTGTTACAAAGCTAGCGCTCTACGCAACTTCTGTAGAAGCTTAGATTACTTTCTTTTACTCTTATTTACTCTCTTTTTCTCTTCTTTACTATATTTAATTATAGTTTTAGAAACTTTAGTTAATAGTATTATAATTTATTATTATTTACTATAATTACTAGCATAGATTTAAAGAAACTTGTATTAGTAGAAAAATAGTAAGTATATATAAGAAAATAATTACTATATTAGTAGCTATTCTACTTTAGTTTATACCTAATAAGTTTAATTGCTACTACAAACATATTACTAAAATACTTGCCCTATACCTAATACCTATGCCGCTTCTCTAACCACGCTGCATACTCTCTCTAGTCTCCGCCTAGCTTTCCGCAGTATCCGCACTGTTGGATAATCCTAACTGCCTAGCTATCCCTAACAGCAGCTGCTTGTACTAGCAGTACTACTACATTTAGCTATTAACACTTTGCTGTAACGTCCCTGCCTGTAGCGTAATACTTTTAACTAATAGAGCAGCGTTAACAACTGTTCTTAATGCTGTTGTTGTGTATACCCTTTTAAAAATAGTCTATGTTAACCCTATGCACGCCTACCTGTGCTGTACACTTTATTGTCTTGTGCGTCTGCCACTTGTCCTGCCCTAAGTTGTCTAGCACCTAGCATATAGCGCATCCTGCCTACACTTTATCTATTATTTCTTAAACCTGTTGCTACTTAGTGCTTGTCTCCTGCTGTGAACGCTTAAACTTGTAGACTCTCTCTCTACACTAGTTACATCTAGCAGACTTAATGTTGTTGCACGCTACAGCCTTGCTGTCTATGTACATGCTTATTAGCGCTTGTTGGCACCCGCGGCCTGTTAAAAACAACCCTATAGCCTGCATGCATAAGTTGTTGCTGTGCTTAAGCATCTTCTGTTCTACAGATCTACGCTCTATAACAATAACTAAGTTAACCTCCTCCCTAGCCTGCCCTCTACGCCTGCTCTCTTGCGCGAAGTTAATTATGCTCCACAGCATCCCCATGTGTAGTATATACACTACTCTAGGGTAATTAACCCCTGTCCCTAACGCTAACGTAGCTATAATTAGCCTACTAGAGCTAAGCTACTGCTTTACTTATTTAGCGTAATTAGGGACGTTAGTGTGATAGTATTTGCATCTAAGCTCTTCTGCTATCCTTTAACACTGTTCCTTGCTGCAGCAGTACACTACGCCCTTCTCTTCTGTCGTAAGTAACAACAACTGCTGCTGTGAGCCTACTGTGAGCGCTGTCTCCTCTAGCTTGCTAGCTTAACACTACAACACAAAGTATTACGTGTTTAGCTAGACAGTGCTAGCGCGCACGTACGTTGCACACTAAACTAGCATGCTAGCCTCTAGTTTGCACTCTTGTGATGGCGGAAGCGTTGCTGTAAGCAGTACTATTAGGCACAGTAGCAACTGCAGATTCTTTAGTTTCGCCAGCTTCTGCCGCTAGTGGCTTACTGTGAAGATAAGATAACACTTGTCTACTACCACCTGCTGCAGCATCCCCTTTATGCTTAGCATAGTTGTGTACCCTAAGAAGTTCCCTTTGCTTGTGATATTGCCTACAGCATTAGCGCTAACTACAACTACAGCAGCTAGGTTAGTCTTGCTATGCTTCTACTTAATGTAGTTAATTCTGCACTTCTGCATACAGTCTACTGTGTTGTTAATAAGCTCTTAATATAGAATAACAACTATAGTAACGCTAGCATTGTCTATGCATGCTAGCACAGTAAACAGCAAGCTCTTGCCTCTGCCTATTAGAAGCACAACTATAAGCAGCGTCTAACTGTTAAGTACAGCATGCAATGCCTACTTTTACTCTAGCTTTATAGACTAAAAGCTAATCTCCTGTTACCTAACTACTTGCTACATTGCCTTCTTAATAGCTTTGTCTTAATTATCTTGTACGTAAATCCTCTAAGGCTGTAGTCCTAGCTTTTTTTTTTACTCTTCTTACTGCTAATGTCTTGCTTTTGTGTTTGCTTTATTCTATAACAGCTTAATTCTTTTTTATTTTTCTTCTTTTTCTTTTTCTCCTTGTGTCTCTCTTCTACTTCCTCCTCTTACTGCACTACTCTAAACCTACTATTAAGTTCTAAGAAGCAGTGCTATATTGTGCTAAAAGGTTAAAACGCCTTAATAAAGCGTAAGCTAAGATGCTTAACAATGTTAATTAGCACACTATAGTTTACTAAGCCTATAACTGTTGTCTGTAAGTTTTGTAGCTCTACTAAGTTCTTACTTTTTTTATTTACCTTAGCTTCTTTAATCTCCCTAACATTATCTTAATACTTTTTACTAAATAAGTGCTTAACTATAACTTGCCTAATGCTAACAGCTATGTGCTAGTAGTCCTGTGTGTGTAGCTTAACGCCTAGTCTCTTGCCTATTTTTTACTTTAGCGCTTGTATTAGATAGTCTGTTAACTACAGCTCTTACTTATTTGCCTAGATGTAGTTAATGCATCCTTTGCTAAGCACCTGCACCTAGAGATACTCCTAGAATAGCTATAAGTATACTAAGTAGATAGCTATAACCTGCCCTAGCTGCGGCAGAAGAAAACGCAGAACCACCTTTAGTCTATCCTACTGTAACTAAGACTTGTAATAGTAAATAATAGTTATAATTTAGCTGTCTACTATAAAGATATTACAGTCCTGTAGCAGCCTGTTATAAAACCTTATTAACAAGATCTCTAGCCCTTAACCTAGCTGTCTAGACATTATGTGCACGCACACTAAGAGTAGTGTTAAAAAGCAGTTAACCTAACATAAGTACTACTTAACTTACTTAATATGCCACTTTCTGTAATGCTTTAGCCTACAGCCTTGCGCGCTCTGCTTAACCTAGGTTAGCATCTAGTATAGCTTGTCTGCTAGACTGTTCTTGCGCTGCTCTGCAAACTACTAGCCTTACTACGTAAAAGTTACTTTGTCTACTACATGTGCTAGATTAATAGTAAACTGCTCTTTAGCCTTTTTAAGCTATATTAGCTTTTGCTACAACATCTCCTCTACTTTAACTACTATGTCCTAAGCTATCTTGCAGAACTAGCTAATATAGATAGGTTAGCTGTTTAAGTAGAAGATCTTCTTGTCTTTAGACTAGTACACGCTGCCTAAGTTGCTGTCTGTTAACGCAACATGCTTTTTATACGCTAGTAAGCTAATTACTTAGCTTATTAGACTGTACAAACTGTTAGCTAGATACTTTACTTTTTTAGCTAGAAAGCGCTTACAGTCCTTGTTAGTCTGCTTACTGCGCTTAGCTAACAGAAGCAGCTTCTTAACGCCTAACACGCGTATGCAGTATGCTACACTAGTAAGCATGTATAAGTAGTGTTTTGCCCTGCGCAGTTGCTAGGCTGTAGCATTAATGCTAAGCACAGCTAAAAAGTGGACAAACCTGCTGCTAAATAGCTAATTACTTACTAGCTTAAAGATAAATAACATAAGCATATTAAGCAGCGTGTCCTCTAGCTTAACTCTTTTGCTGCTAGGGTCACCTAAGGCCTTCTACAACGCTAACGCTAGCTCCTTTTGCTAGCCCTTCTAGCAGAAGAGCTTGCGTGCGTCCTTCATTATGTCTACCTTTGTCCTGCGGCGGTGGATAGGGTGATGTTGGTATTGTTAAGTGGTGATGTTGCTGTTGTCGCTGCTAGCACTACTGTCCTCACCTTTGTTAGTCTGTGCGTTGCTGCCATTACTACTACTGTTGTTTTGCCTTATTATCCTTGCCTGCTTGTTAGCTACAATGCGTAGCAGGTAGCAGACAAACTTGACCATGTATCCGGCATACTGCGCCTGACTCTCTAGGTTCTGCAGTCAAGCAAGCGGCCGCTGGTCGGGCTCTATCTGCTTTGCGCTCCTCAGCCAACGCCTTGTCTCCTGCGTGAGCGTTAATAGCCTAGCTACACTCCTTTTAATTAAGGACTCTACAAGATTCGCAGCCTACTTTAGCTGTACCTTGTCTCGCCCTAGTAGCTAGATCTGGTGTGCGAGATAGGCTAGGTTGCGGTTGGCGAGATGCTCTAGCTATCCTGTGCGATTAAACTAGCCAGTCTTGTCTGTTTTAGCAGCCTGCGCGTCTATGACCTGCGCTTGACCTTTAAGCGCCTCTTGCGTCGCCTTGTATTCTTCCAGCTCGGCCCAGACTTTGTCCGCTACATCGCTAGGGGTAGCAGCTAGTGTGCTGTTGTCTTCTTCTTCCTCCTCTAGGCCTACGTCTACAACAAAGTATTGTAGCAGCCCTCCTCTGCAGAAGAAGGTCTAAACCCTAACCTTCTTATACAGCTAGCTTGTGTCCCTAACCTAGGCAGTAGTGTGCGCGTCTGCCCAATGCTTCTGTAGCGCGTCCTGGTTGATGCTAATATACTCGCACCCCCCCTTAGTGCATTGTAACGCTGCTAGCGGCCTCCTAAGCTCTTCTAACGCGGGACTCCTAGCCGGAGGGAGCTGCACTTGGTCGGGCTCCCAGACCTAAGTGTACCTGCTGCAGATCTAGTTAACAATTGCCACCCTCTCTCGCTTAGGGACACAGTGGTATTTAATAAGATGTCTGTCAAGACTCTAGATGCCCGTGTGATGTTCAAGACAGACCAGCACTCTGTACCTAGGCAGGAACTGAAAGCAGTCCGCTACATTGTCTGCTGTAACCCCTTGTTCTACAGGCGCGCACTGCCTTCTGTCTTTTCCTTCTCTTAGCTGTCTTTTTTAGCCTCTTGTTATAGTTAATCTTAATAGTAGTTATAGTAGTTGTGGTGGTGGTCTGCAGGTTGGGTGGTAGCGCGGCGCGAACTGCAGAGCGTGTGCGCGAACTGTGCGCGAACTGTGCGCGAACTCCAGAGCGTGCACGCGAACCGCAGAGCCTGTGCACAAACTATACAGCTTGTGCGCGAACTGCACACACACTGCACATATCCTACACATCTACTTTTTTATTAAAACAACACTTATAAAGGCTAGATTATGTTAAAGCAAGGTCTTTATTAGAAGCACTTTAACTCTATTTGCTTTCTCTTACTTTACAATGTTTTCTAACACCGCAATTTGCTGCAATTTGCTGCAGTGTACCGCAATTTGCTGCATTTTGCTGCAGTATACCGCAATTTGCTGCAATTTGCTGCAGTGTACCGCAATTTGCTGCAATTTGCTACATCTATGCCAGTGCGCGCATCCTGCAAAGGAAAACCTACAATTAACTGCACAGTGG